TTGACAGAAGAAGGTAAGGCAGTTCTCAGAGGGAACAGGAGTGTTTAGACTCTTTAAAAGCTGTTCTTCATGAGCACGAGTGAGAGCAAAAGGTTATAAATAAACTGTATGTATACTTTTGGCCTTTGTCTTTATTTATTTGTTCCTCAGGAGGGCGGGCATAGGTGATCAGAGGTCCAGTTCCTATTCTTCAGTTCCTATGGATAAAGAACTAAGAGTTTGGCACCTTTTCATGTTTCTAGCTAAGCAGCAGTAGAACAGCTTCGTCCCTCTGCTGTCAGTCCCTCTAAGCCAACTCTCTCAAGCATGGAAAATGATCTGCCTCTTCATCTCAGCTGCAGTTAATTTTATTGCCCGCTGTTGTCTCTGTCAGACTGACCTATAGTAGCATGCCACAGACTGTGGTGCTTTCTCACATGTGTTTGCTCAGCTAGAAAAGCTACCCAGGAGTTTCCTGAGTGCCTGCTGCAATATAACCTGGTATTTTGGAGTCTAGAAATGCCTGTGAACTCCTCAGATTGCATCTTCCCACTGACAGAGTATTGTTTTGAGATACATCTGGTGTCAAGTGTAGGCATATGGCACCAGTATGGCAGCGCTGCCTATGGAGATAGCTTCCTGCAGAAGAGGTCTCACTGAATGCAGTAGTCGTTCCCTATTGAAAATCGTTATTGTTTAGCACCCAGGTCTTTATGAACTTGTTCGACTGGTGGCTGGGCAGTGTGCCATCTGAATCTGCGGACATGAGCGTAGACAGCTGAGTCTCTGGGGCCTTACACGCATCAGATGTGGGTACTGAGGTCAAGCTTCTCAGTAAGGAGAATCTAAATGACTGTCTGTCCCGAGCATGTGTATCTGTGGTTGAAGGGATATGCCATCATTAATCCAAATCTGGCCTGGATTAAGCTTTTTAAATAAAAAACAGCTCTGCCAGCCACTTGAAGAGGGCTCGGGGCTTGTTTGAAATGAGCACATCAGCAAGGAGGGAGGAGGAGGAGGAGAAGGGGGAGGCAGAGGCAGCTGAGCAAAGTCACCACCTCACCACCCCTGTAGCTGGTCTCTCCATATGGGCTGAGACGACCTGACAGCTGCCAAAATGGGGGGCTGGGGTGTGCTGCCTTCATCCCTCTGACTGCAGGCTTCTCCGTGGGCTGGGCAGCACTTCTGTTTCTGAGCTGCAACAGGAGGACAGACATTTCATGCTTTGTTTCTTCATTATGTTTTCAGCACGGTTCTTGTAACAGCTGGGAGCAGCAGCTTTAGCAGGAGCAGGATTGCCTGTTTTCCACACAAAAGATCTCAGGTTTGCTAGCCTGGGCCTGGCTCTCCCTTTTTCCTGGCAGTATTCCCACCTGGATCTACTTTGGGCTTACTCCTTACCTCTGAAGATGCACAGGGGATGAGGCAGCAGCACCAGCATGGTGGCACCCACCAGGAGCAGAAAATCTGGGTGGAAGATCACAAAGCCAGAAGTACCAGAAATACTTCAGTAGGGTTGCTGAGAAAGCTAAGGAGAGGCAGAGAAAGCTAAATCCAGTTGGCTGTGTTTGCACAGAGTGAGAAAACACCAGAGCATTAAGCTAAGGTGAATAATGAAGTGATTCACCACACAGCACAATTCAGAGAAATGAAGGTGAATGAACACTGGGGTTTGCCTGTCTCTTGTGGGTCCTGACAGCTTGCAGACACAGATGCTCTGTGGCATCCATAAAAAAGATAACGCTGGGAACCTTCTATTCTGAATACCGCTGTTACACTGTGGACACTAACCCCCCTGTGGAATTGTCTTCTGACATGATCCGTCTCACATCTCTTTATGCACTTTTGCAATATATAGCTGCTTCTGTTCTCTGTGATGCTAACTGTGCACCTACAGCGTATAAAACATACCTAACTGAAGAACTGGGAAGCTTTGTTATTATTGGGAGGCGCAATGAGATTTCCCTAGAGAAGTGTGGTAGAAGTGCAAAGAGGGAATACGCTGTTATTTTAAAAATCGGCCATGCACTGCTTCCTCCTCCTTTGAAGTTGGTGGCAAAACTCTGTTTTAGAGAAGCAAGACTGCTTGAATCGGCAAACAAGAGGCAGCCTGGAGGCAGAAGAGGCTTATAGGGAATGGTTTCTGCTGCTCTCTTTGAGCACAGAACTGTTCAGACAGACTGGAGACCTGTCTGCTGCTCTCTCCCATTAAGGCTAAGAAGTGAATGCTTTTAAAGTTGTTAAATGAATGGGCTGGATCTTGCAGCCCTTACTCATCTGAGTACTGTCATTAACTTTAAGAAAATAATCACTATATTAAGTGCTCTGGAGTGGAGTCCTTAAATGGTTAAAATCTAATATTTGACAGAAGTTTTTTCTCAGAAAAATAATATTGACATAATTAAAAGGATGTGAAAATTTCACCAGTTGAAAAATGCAAGTTGCTTTGGAGCAATACGTAAAACTGGAAGCAGGGCAGAGGGCTTAAGTCCGTGTCACATCTGTAGGTTATTTTTGAACTTCATGAAAAACACATTTTAGCAGTTTATATCCTTACCATTCAACTTTGTTCTGGCATTCTGAATTCAAAAACATGCTAACCATGAAAACACAACATTTAAAAATGCACTGTCCACTTGGCTTCTTTGCCCTGCTTCAGAGTCACTCAAGTTTGTTTCGGACAAACTGAGAACTTTGTTGTGGATTGACTGTTTGAACTGGGGTTTTCTTAAAATACATGTGGAGCCTTGTAGCTGCTGCAGGGTGTACACAGTGGTGGAGCTGTACTATTTTAAAATCATCTGTCTGTTTCACTTCATGTAAGAATATCTGTCAGCTTAGTTATAAGGAACGAGAGGGGATGATTAAAACAACTCACGAAGCCATTAAACAAAGAGATAAAACATAGAACATGTGCTGTAGGATCGTTTTAATTACAGTGTATGGGGGATCTGTGGAAACCGGATGGCAGCTGCATTGTAGCTGAGTTTTAAGCTCCTCTTAGCAGTACCGAAGTCCTGCTACTCAAAGGTGGGGTTTCTTATCTGTAAAGCTAATAGGTCCTTTGGAAATAGTGTTTGGAAGCTACCTTTTGTTGCCAAGACTGACCATAGTGTAATTACTATACTCAAGCACTTAGATATGGACTAATATGGGCAATTATGTATACTAATCATCTAGTCATCAGCAAAAGCTTTAGTCAAGAAGGGAAGGGATCCAAGATGTCAAGTGAACAGCCATGAGAATCCAGAGAGAACAGGGAAGAAAAAAGGTAGTGGCAGCTTATTTCATTGTCTTGGTGATCTTACTAGGTAAAAAAAAAAAGCCAAACCAGTATTGAATATACTACTGTATGCTATGTCTACCGAGTTAATTTAGCATGTAATCTGGCTTTAAATAATAAATAGCAGGCAGCCACATGAATTCTGTAAAAACCATTTAAACTTCCCATTTTGCTTTATTCTTATTAACCTAGTTACAGACATTGAGAGTTAGCATAATTAATTCAGGCCCTATCAGAAGAGTTTTAAATCTCTTTTGGTGTGAAAGTTCAAACCAGTCTCTAGCCACTAGAAATCAGGATGAGGAGCAGGAGCAGGAAGGAAAGATGACAAACACATCTACCCACGTCAAAGTTTTTAAAACTCCATCCATTCCTGCCAGGGACAGGGTTGTCAGCTAGGTAGACACTGGGTCTACTTCAGCTTGGCAGCTCCAATGTTTCCAGTTCAACAAAGTTTACTTAAATGTCTGCAATGCTTTTTATGCATCCGAAATACAGTAATTTAGTTAACCCTTTGTCATTATGGGTTCACACATAGGAGCATTACCACTTCAAAATACCCAGTCATAAAACTGTAACAAAGATTTGCTATAAAAAATCATTGGAAAGAGACAAAAAATGAATTTTTAAGAATGTGACCACTAACAGTGAATTTAACTCTCTGACTGTAATTGCTGCAGCAGTTTAAGTCTTGCTCTGTGGCTTGTAAGCATCACTAAAACTGCCTGTGAAAAAACGACATTTGCATCTGCTAGCAAACTGTCTTTATTAGTATGTGAATTCTCAGGAAATTATATGAATGCTATAACTTTTGCTTTCCAGTATGCATAAAACAAAGACATAACAGGACCAATTATATAAATATGGGAAATAATTCATTAGAAAGAGGATGGAGGACCTGAAGGAGTTACAGCTTGTTCTCTTGGCTGCAGCTTGTTGGCACATGAAAGTTCTGGGGACTGTTCCCTTGAGGATTTCATATGTTGTACGTCATTTTAAAGAGACTGGAAGGCAGTAGTTGGGATAGATATCCATCTCCATACTGGCTTGTGGAGCACTCCACCACATATCTAGGTTAACTGTTACACCAGTTTCCTCAGCATCCCTAGCTAAAGAAAATACACAAAGGCAACTCAACTGTCATTAAAATGAGGGAGAACTCATTTCTGCATTAGCAGTGTAAGGGAAAGTGTAAGAGGACCTCTCTGTAGCAGAGAAATTAGTCACTGATCCAACAATGAGTAGCTCTCAAGGCAACGCACCTTGAGGTTAACTTTGGATGGTCTCTCACAAGCTTACCTCAGATTGTTTGAGAGTTAAAAGCTAGAGGAGCAATAGGGGAAGAGCTCTCTACGATGGGAAATCATGGGCCAGGATGCCAAACCCTGGTGGGCTGGCATCTGGCTAGTTGAAGTTCTCCGTTTTGGAAATGACATTAAGCAGTTTCCCATCACTGTCATGGAGAGGTTATCTCAGGTTTTTAGGATCATGTTAAGATTCACCCTGTGGTGCACATTTTCTCTAGGATCAATGGAACTACACATTTTAGGGTCAAAATTAGCTTTTTGCATGTGTCCTGTTGATGTTAGCAGAATTTCTGGTGTGCAGGAATATGAATATTGCACATACAGTGATTTCTAAAATACAAAATGGTAATTACAATATGCTTCCTTAAGGAAAGAATTGAAGGTAATTGACCCTGTAACTCTTCTCTCCTCCTCTACCTGTTCTACTCCAGTCCTCCGTGATGTCTGTCTGTTTTGCCCGCTTTCACCCAAACCTCGTCGTTGGTGGAACATACTCTGGCCAAATTGTCTTGTGGGATAATCGCAGTCACAGGCGCACTCCAGTTCAGAGAACTCCCTTATCTGCTGCTGCTCACACGGTAAGGATAAAAACCACCTCCTCCCTTATTTAGAGGAAACAGTCATCAGTGAAGGGGAGCTGTCTGGTTGTGTCTACAATGACGGTTGCCACACAGATGTGTGTGTGGCAACATAAGTGTTGTACTTGAAGGGAAAGAAATAGATGAGAGATGTACAACCATCTCCTGTAAGTGCTTAACCATCACACTTCATACAGTCAGATTATCCTCCTTTCCAAGAAAGAGAGCAGGATCAATTACAACACTTGAGTGAGGTACCTTTGTGCCAGCACGGTGGCACTGTGTCTCTGGCTCTTCATTGCCTGTAAAGAGAGCCAGGTCAATATGGGGACTGTGTGTCTGTCAGTCCAGCATGGCAGGCAATTTGAATCATTTATTGTTGTCTTGTACCCAAGTTTCTCTTTTGAAAAAGATTAGGCACCTATGGTGGTCTCTGTGGAGTCCTGTAAGTAGACACTAGTACCCTCGAAAAGAGTGGAGCAGTTTGCTTCTGTTTTCAATACAGCAGTACATAGATGTCTGTCATGATTTCCTAATCCAGACAGGGCCATAGGGCAGAGCCTGCACAATGAGGGGGAGCTTGTTTCAGTGATGTGGAAGAGCATTTTGCTGTTACACACTAACACTTGCAGATACTGTGATGGTGGCACAGGGCTCTGGTCATGTCTGGGAGACATACAGGCAGAGCAGCAACACAGAATGGCTGAGAAGGAAGAGAGTTACTCTGTGCCACAAAGATGTCTGTGGTAGATGACTCTCTTACATTGCAAAGTACTCATATTGTGCTGGAGGAAGAGACAAGCCTGGATTGCTTGCTAAAGTGTCCTCACTCTGCTATGGCCCTGACTCCAGTCCATCCTGCACGAAGATGTTATGCATTCTTGAGCTATCCCATTCCAGAGGTCGGGCTCAGGCAGGCTCTTCATAAGAGCTGGAAGGTGTACTCAGTGGATGGTAAACACATCCCATATTGGGCATGAGCTTGGGACCATTCCTGAGTGGGAAGTAGAAAATAAAATACAGGCTGAACAGAGGAGAAAAATGTAATAGTATGATATAAGAATGCAGAGAAATGAAGATTTCCTGAAACATAAGAAACTGAACTTCGCAAAACACTCTGAGAGATAAGATAATAATTTTATTATAGCAGAGAGAAGGATCAGATTAAGTGATAAGTCTTTTGCACCTCCAGCTTTTACAATCCTATGATTCTTATCTTTGGAATTTGCAGATCAAGGTTCAGCTTTTAGTTGGCTGTGACAACATAATCCTTGAAGTTAAAAGACAACTCTAGAAGCCATACCATGTAAATTAATGCAAAAGATTCAGCATGAGGCCAGTATTATGATAGTAAATCTCTTATATTAAAAAATGACAGGTGTGCACAGACATGCTTAGTGGGCCAGGCAGTACAAATATTGTTCCCTAAATTTCCACTATCATGAATGTTGATGTAATAATCTAATGATCTGTGCCATGGGTTGCAACTTCAATATTGCTTTTCATTTCCCTAATGTTTTTGCTCATTTTGTCACCAGTAATGTTGTTCAATCTGCATGAAAAGAAACAGTCTCCCTTGGAAGTGCAATTTAGAGATGTAGCAGACCAGAAAACTGGTGGCAAGAAGCTGACTATCACTGAAAATTGAACAACTGGGACTCAAAATCTAGTGGAAAAGAAAAGATTAATGGAAGTAATTTGTTTACACTCACAAAACATTTGAGACAAAATTGTCCCTCCTGGAATTATATATTAAACTAGTTTTATTATTGCAATAGAACAATATGTGATGTTTTGCTTTTAACAAATGTAAATAAATGACTTTCAGTTGTGGATGGGCACTTTATGTGCTGTTGTGGATTGGTATAAATAAGTGTTTACACAGTCCAACAGGAGGAAGCATTATGTTTTTAAGGAGTGATCAGATTTTACAATAAAAGAGTGCTTACTTTATGTTCATATATAAGAATCACATAAAATGTAAATGAAGTCTTGATTGCAAAAGGCTGGCTTGAATCCTCACTACCACGAAAAAAAAAAAGGGTTAAATTAAGACAACTCTACTGTAGCAGTATTACTTCATGTACTGCTACATACATGAGTCGAATAGTCATTTTAAATCTGAACTTATGTTGTATGTGAAAAAAGGATTTTTCTCTGTTCTTTCTCTCACTTAGTTTATTTGAAACAGATAAAGTGTGTTGTTATCACTGACTTAAACTGTCCTGAAGCTTAGTGTCACTGATTGCCGCCTGGATTCACCAGGGAAGAGAACTCTACCCGCAGCTTACTCACTAATTTCCTTTCACACCCACCACACATCTGCACTTGGGACAACAGGAAATTTTAATTAAGACAAAATCCTTTTGCATGATGATTTAATTTCCAAAATAAATAGAAGCAAGCTGGCAGCGACCCTTTGAAAGGAAGTAGCCTGTTTAGACTTTCTTCTATGTACAGTTGGTTGTCTTTTTCATCCATTTTCCTTACGTCTTTTCATTTCTGTAGTGAGTTTTATTGTGCATGAAATTGATGGCTGGTAGCCCTGATTAAAGCCAGACATGGCACACTGGGGTGCTGCTGGAAAGACATGACTTGCTTTCTCCTTCAATGCTAAATTTTTGAGATACGCCACTGCTTGCTTCAGCTTACTCCTACCCACACTGTCCCTGTCTGCTTGGACTTCTGGAGGTCAAACACCCATGAAAAAATAGGCCTATGCTTATTTCACACATCAGTATGTGCTAATCATGTTTAGCACAGGGCTCATTAGCTCTCCACTAAGCATCAATAAGGTCCATCATGTAAGGGTAATAGTGTGAGGGAACAGATGGGGGGTCCATTTGATGATCCAGGAGAAATGAGGTGCCTGACAAGCTTGAGAGAGAAAAATCAGCATCAAAATGGACCTTGTGACTTGGTGTGTACAGGTGGCCTCTGAGCACAAGGTACCATTTCAGCAGCAATTGCTGAGTCCATCTTTGATGTGGGTGCACACACACTGTGTTTTCAGATGCTGCCCTTTTTGCACTTAGGGAGGGGGCATTTAATGAGTCTGCTCAGGTATCAAGCCTCAGAGCTCTCCGGTGCTCTGAAGATTTCTGCCTTTTGCTACTGACCGGGTAGGTGACCTGCAGCTGGATCTTAAAGTAGTCTAAAATAAGTGGTAGTTCAGCTGTTCCTTTCAGTAGGAGCAAATGCTAGATTTCTAACCCTACATGGAGTTGGCTTAGAAGCTCTATAGAGATCTCTTGTTAAGTTGGTCCTAATTTTCTTTAAATACAGAAAGTATTAGTGAAAAGTATGTTTTCTTCCTGGAGATGCAGGTCTTCTGTTCATCGGCAAAAGAGGCAGATAAATACAGTATTTCTTTGCTTGACTTGTGT